TTCTGCAACCTAATTACGAAATTAAAATAACTGTAAACACAGCACACCTGGACGTCAACCATCACAAACTGCATGACGTCTCTGTTCCGTCTGCGTAAACTCCAGGCTGAAATGTTACGACTCATCGTGGCGTCATGAAGCCTCTCATCTGATGACCGTTACGTGAAACATGAATGTGTATGTTTGGGCTCATTGGATATTTCCAGAACATCTACCAGCTGAGCTGAACAACAAAAACAAACCACCAAATAATCTATCAAAATGACATATGTATCCTGTGTGATCAGATTTAAATTACAATCATCTGTAGCATCAAGTCTGCTTCACGAGATACCACAGAATCACTATTTTCTCTTCAGTTTGATTGATGATCATCATAATTTCCACATCTCAAAAAGCTTCTGACTTAATAACCAAAATAAAACAGAATATAAAGACAAAACAGGCCATGCACAGGAGCCAAGACGTGACACTGATGTCGTTTTTTTTGGTGTTTTTTGGTTTTGGTGAAACATATATTCAGAATTTGAGATTTTGTAAGCATGAGAAAGAGGGACAAACACAAAAAACACTGCTGGGTATCAACAACTAACAGCATCACTCGTTTCCAGGACACACAACCGGCGCTTACTTTGATATCTATCAGCATGATTTTCCACAAAACCATGGTGTTTGAAAATGACTAAACACGAGCTGTCATACAAAAACTAACTTATCAGAAAATACTCTATAACTGGCAAAATTTAGATTTAAATAAGGAACTAGTTCATCAAAGAGTCTGAATCAACAATTTTTTGTTCAATACAAACCCCAAAAACTGTTGGGGTTCAATACCCAGCAGTAACCAGAATCATCCTTTGCTGTGTTGTGTGGATGGAGTCATTGAAAACTCACTTTCTGACTGTTCAGGTAGTATGGGTCCAGGTCCTCCAGTGGTACCGCCACCATTCCCTTAGGGATGTCCCCGTAGATGTAGGGCAGACTCTTCCCAGCCTCCAGATCGCTGTTGGGTTTGGGCTTGTTCTCATCATCGTCATCGCGGTAGCTGCTGTCCTGCTTGGGCGGCTTCTTGTTCTTCTCCTCATTGATGCGCTGCTCAAGAACCGCCAAAGATTCCAAAGTAAACTTCTTGAAGCTATCAGGTCCTGGCGGTGCAAGAAGGGGTGCAGCCATGTTTTCATCCTGCAGCTACTTGGTCTTTAGGTTTGTACCATCCACGGTAGCAGCTCTGCAGGAGACAGGAGGGAAAAGAATTAGGAGAGAGCACGACAAAAATGGCTGCCTCAGTGTTGCATCTGTGGCCCATTATCATTGTGCAGAGTAAAGCCAAGAAGAAGAAAAAAAATGGAACCAGGGAGACGACCTGATCGTGAGCAGAACGTGATCGTTTCATCTTGTGCAACATATTATAGTATGAACACAAGGAGTGTATTTTTTAAAGAAAGCAACTACATTTTGACATCTAAACATTCATACAGGAAGTAAAAAGCAAAAGCTACATCTTTATAGTAACGTATAAGAGCACTACCTCTGTTTATCTCGGTTAAGGAGACGGACAGATGTTTGTTAAATGAGCCTATAAAGCAGCAAAACGACTACGATGGCAGATCAGTCCTCCGTGTCTGCTCGACAAAAATAAAGAAAGGAGGGCAGTTTAACATCAGAAGGGTTTTAAAACAAATGATTTCAAAATAACAGGCTGCTGATAGATATATAGATAGATAGACAGATAGACAGATAGATAGACAGATAGATAGATGAGTTAAGGATTAAAGATTCTTCAGATTGTGCCAAAATAACATCCTTTAAGGGACATTAAAATCAGTTATCCCGGGTCTCATGTTCAAGCAGCAGCAGTATAAAGACACAAATAAGTCTTATTACTTTCAGTGGTGTACAGAAAGTTCTAGGTCCTGCATTCAAAACCTCTGAAAACAAAGACAACTGACCCATTTTGGGACTTTGCTCCTTGTGGGGGGGTTTTTGAACAGCTGACAGAAAAACCCAGCACACTAAATGGCTGCATGAGTCAGTAAAGCCTTTCTCCAACACACTTCCAAGTAAAAAGGGTGGACTGGTTACATGACAACTGTTCGAGCTGCTGGACATATCAGGGTCAATGTACTAATGTGAAGCAGTGATGGAGGAAAGAGGGAGGAGCTGAACATGAGAAGAGCCACACCTGAAAATAAAATGAATGAAATAATGATCCTGTCACTAATCTCTCTCCTGTACATCTTATCCACAATTATGCACGAAGCTTTGGTTTTTGGAGAGGCAGCCTCAACAGGACAATCAGCCACATCTGAATCACAGGGCCCTGTCACTTCTCAGCTCCCTCCTTGCATAACGGCGTCTAATTAAACATGCTCGACGTGTAAAGCTCATATCAGCACAGCGAAGACTCTGCTGCTGCCGCCGCGATGCTCTGAGGAGGTTTTTTTTTTTTAAAAACGCAGAAAAACACGCAGCACAGAGAGTCTGTTTTAAAATGGACCCTCGCAGCCACTGAGCCTTCTGCTGTCCGCTCCATTCAGCACCACACACACATGCACAAATGCGCGCACACGTGAATGCATACATGGAGGTGTTGGTGGTGATAAGGAGGAGAAAAAAAATTCTAACCGATCTGTCTGGAAAAACCGTTTTGCGCTCCAGCGGGCCTCCTTTGGTGAGCTCTCTGTCGATGCTCTCGACGCCTTCAGGCCTCCAGTTTATCCTTCAATTCTCTGATCGAGTCCTGATGGCAACACTCGGCTTGTGTCCAGTGGGTTTCTCACTCACTTATATCTCAGCCTCGGCAACGCAATCGTTCCCACAGAGGGGAGGAAAAAACCAGCACATTCTGGCACCTTCTCGGTCATTTTTACGCAGATGCACTGAAGACTTGTTTACTAAAGCTGTCGATTAATTAAGAATCAGGGCCTGTGGACGCCATTATGTGTCTTTTTTTATTTCATTTTTTAACAAATATATATTTCATTACATAGAAAAGTGAGGAGGTTAGATTGCGCAGAGAAGTGGCCCCGCTTCAACCAAATTGGCCAAAGCAATCTTGCTGCAGTGGGTGGTTTGTATGTTGAAAATGTCACGCTGAGGTAAAAGCATCCGTGGATTTGTCAAAGTCACAACGATCCTGTGATGAATCATAATAATTGAAAAAAATAGTGGAATGTGTCATTGTTATTCAGGAAATAACAAGGATTGGTTTCATTTTTTGGGACATATTCTGTGCGTTTTTTGCGCGTTGTCTTGAAGGATCTGCACCACACCCGTGAAGCCATGTCGACTGCCAAATCAATAAGGGCTCCATCTGAGCACCAGATAGCCGCGAGTATGAGGCTAAAAAACAACACACAGTCTGCAATATGAGGTGAAGCACCACAACTAAACAGCATTAAGGTGCTGCCACACGAAAACAACAACCAAAAAAAATCACCTGGATGAACGTAAATTTCTTGGCTGTCGATGATGGGAAGAAGATCAGGGTACTTACATAGCGTCAGCCCCTTTTCTGAAGCCTTGTTTGGATTCAAGTGTATCATCCTGTAGTCCGGAGGGTGTAAAATGTCATAAAAAATAAAGCCCAAATTTAGATTTTTTTTTTTTGGTGGGGGGGTAGGAGGAGGAGGGGGGAGCTGGAGCAGGCAGACGGCGCCCTACCTGAAGCCTAACCTATGAGGCATTTCCTCACGCAAATCGGTGCCTCAGATGCTCGACGAAATCCGATAAATTCCCTCCAAAAAAATTATTCCCCCTCCAGCTCAAGTCCGGCAGATGGATGCTCATCAAACGCAGGCGGCTTCCTCCATCACCGATCCACCAGGAGAGAGAGAAAAAAGGAGATGCGGGGCAGTGTGCAGCTCTGCGACACTCAGGCTACGCAAGGATACCGACGGAGAGAAAATCTGCCCCCCCTCTCCGCGCGCACGCACCTACAGACATATGCACGCTTTTCTCTCCCCCCCATAAAAAAACGACAATAAACGAAGGATACTCACTTAGTAAAGCGTTACAGTGAATCCAGGGAGCCGCGGCAGGACTGCAGATGTGGAGACGATCGGGGAGAAACTGCGGTTGTCGCCATATTGTTGCTGCTATCTTCCTTCCCAGTGCGTGCGGCTACCCTGCATAATTGATGACTCTCAGCAGAGTGTAAGGGAGTGTCGGCAAGTGCGCTTTTTTCGTGAAATCGTAAAGGTCATTTAGGCCTGCAGCCTCGGAAACAACCCCCCCTCCCCCTAACAGTCAGAGAGCAGCCCGGATCAGATTTAGGGGCGCAGAAATCATCCACATTTATTTTTTTATTTTTTTCCTGTCTCACTGTGTGCTGACTTTTATAGTGCAGGAATTTAAAGCCACCCAGTTAAAGAGAACACCACTCAGATGAACCAGAAAGAACAATTTTAGAATCATTTTAAAATGCAAAAATATAAATTTTTGGCATGGACATAATTCAAAAATCAACTTTTTTCTGGTCATTTCCAAACATGCACATTTATTCTGACTATCTGATATCATGCATATCTTTATTAGCGCATGTTGTGAGGCAGATTGCCAGCTCTTAATTTGGTAACCTGCCCCATGTCTCCTGTTCTTTTGTAATCTGTGCGAAAATTAAACTAAGTGAACTAAAAATCTTCCAAAACAATAAAAAAAATCTCTTTTTTCTTTCAGTAGATTATCACAGCTACAATAAGATTTCGTTTTAACTCATCGGAACTACTTTTTACAACAGTTTCAAACGCAGCACAAGAACATTACATAAAACAGAAATTAAAATTAGTTTTAAATTGCACTCCTCTGTGGATTTCAATGTCGTAAACGTTGTGCTTCTTACTTTTCAAGATACCACACTTTTTTTTTAATTTTAATTTTGTTTTCTAATTTCATTTTACTTTTGACGCACTTTTATGCGCGTGACGTCACTTTCCGGAAGTACATGTTTTTGTTTGCGGTCAAAAAAATAACGCTGAACGTTAAAAAGCAACCTAAACTAAATGAAGGTAAAGTTTCTCCTGCTGTTTGTGAGCCTCCTCTGTTTGTCTGAACTCGCTTCATCACAGGACGGTGAGTAGAAACCGAGCCAGAAAGAACTTTTTAATATTTGTGTTTTCCATTTTTCTATCAAGTATTCAAGTATTCTTAAAGGTCTGCGTTTATAACATGGTTTCACACTTCTGATTTGTTTGATGTCATGTTTCTTATTAAGCAGAAAAGAAAAAAAGTTTCTGAGATTTAGTTTTTGAGATTAATATATGTGTTGATCAGGTAACTTGTGTCCATAGCAACCATCTTGACACTGGATGCGCGTAGCTCTCAGCCCTGCAGTCTCGACTTCAAATCATAACTGCACCATTTTTAAGTTATTTCAGGGCAAAATATGAAATATAATATAAAATGTAAGACACCGTGCTTGAAGCAAATAAGGTCACCTCACTTTCTGTCTGTAGTCAACCTGCGTTATGTGGATCCCAAACTGTGTGCCTTGGAATAAGTCTTACATGTGATAATATCAGAGCTACAATCTAATGCAAAGGTTTGCCTTTGAAATACTTGTTTTCATACAATTTATTAAATGTTATTTGGGGGCCGACCCTTTAGTCCAGGAGAAGAGATGCAGCTTCTGAAGAGGAGAAAAACTTCACCCTTAAAGTCCAAAAAGCCAAAACCCCAAATTCATAACTAACTAGAAAAACACTCAGAGAGCGCAGACCTCCGCCCAGCAGCTCATTTCCACCATGTTGTGATTTCCAGCCAATGTTGAAGTCCGGCATTCATTTTATCTACTTTATCCAGTATTAGATTCATGGATAATCAAAACGCTAACGCAAACTAGCATAGCTAACGCTAACACAACCTTGCATAGCTAACGCTAACCTAGCATAGCTATGTTTGCATAGCGATATTATTGCTAACATAAATAGACAGTGAGTAGCTTAAGCTAGGTTAGCACAACTTTAGCAATGCTACTTAAATGAAAAGCATGACCGAAGCAAAGAAGCACGTGTCACTCGTCATGACACATGGCAAAGAGAGTTAAAGTGAAACAGGAGACATGTTGAGTCATTGTTACTGTCACTACGTTGTTATGAACTCAGGGAACCCTGGAACTTATCTGTCAGCAGCTCCGCTCAGCCCACTCCTGTAATGCTGCCTGGCTGTTGCTTACACATGTACTACTGAGAAGACAGTAGTAGTAGTAGTATGTTGAGTCTGAAAAGCTACAAACTACGGTATATTCACTCAGAAGCATGTTCAATGATAGAACACATAGTGGGTATGTAGTGCCAGGTATAGAATTTCAGATGCAGCTTTTCTGTTCCTTCAAAGTTAATAACACAGCCTTCAAATACTAATAAACTTTACATTAGTTAGGATTAAAACACTCTTTCTCAGTTCAACACACTCAGGGGTTTTACTATTACCACCTTACATGAGACCTAGCAACAGTCTGAGACAAGAACTGGTTCACCCTGAAGATAAAGCAGCCAAACACAATCTGAGCAGCGTTGTATAAGCAGTCCAATGCAGCGAGGAGTGCACAGACCTATATACAGAGGAGACTTAATCACCTGCATCTAAAGGATAAGAGACACTCATCTGACGGTAGCAATGCTCTGATTCTGGTCGGCGAAGTCAGATAGTTTGATGGAGGAGTGAAGGAAACCACTTATCAGGTACTTACAATGCAGTCTTGAGGTCTCTCCCCAGAAAGTTTTACCAACATTAACACTTTGAGTAATCCTCACCTGGCAGTTTTACAACCATTCACACCTTGAGACATGTGAGTCTTAGATTTTTAATGCTTTTAACCGTGTGATTTGGTGTTGAAAGTATATATGAAACTCACCAGACAGTTAAAACAACAAAGCCTCTTGGATGAAGGTGAAACATCTTCAAGAGTCAATAAAAGTGAAGTCTAGTTCCTTCTACTGAAGCTCTTAGGATACATATTGAGTCACTAACATAATTGCTAGAGTTCGTCTGCTGACTTCGTGACTTGGGACTAGTCCTAACGTTACATATTTTGTCATTTTAGTGACAAACATTTCAATGGTTGTAACACAAATGTAAAATGAGGTGTTTCTGGGTTTGCTGTTGTCTGTGACTGAGTTCAGTCCGTCAATAAACATTTCTTTCCTTATATTTCTCCTCTTCCCAAAAGAGTTAAATGTGTTCCTGCAGTTTACTGTCCAGCAAAAGTTCCTACTTCACTGTTTTTACTAGTGAGATTAGACCTCAGACACATTTCTGAACTTTAAGAGCATATATTGCTTATATTTGTTCTCTATCAATCTACAGATAGTGGTTTACAGGGGGTGGGGGGTTAGACCTCTTTATTTGATAAATAGTTCAAATTATTAATTGATTATACCTTTTTTTTTTTTTTTTTTTAATAATTGCACTGGTTTGACTATATGTTGATTGGTTGCTTCAGTCAGCCTTTTTGGGGTATGTTCCTGACATTACATATTTAACATGGCAGGTCAGACACATTGGAGACACACCTCGCTGGTCACATCACACCGTGACAATGTAAACAATAACATAACACTTCAAAATTCACATGAAACTCTTCTTCTTTGTGTTAAAAGGTTGCGGGCAGCGCTACCTGGTTGGTCCTCCAGGTGGCTCTCGGATCGTGGGGGGGCGGGAGGCTCCAGAGGGGGCGTGGCCGTGGCAGGTCAGCATCCAGCTCCAGTCCAGGCACCACTGTGGAGGCGCCATCCTCAACAGGCTCTGGGTTCTCACCGCCACACACTGCTTCCACAAATTCCTGTGAGTAGAACCTTCACACCTGACCCACCTGCACCCAGTCACGTCTCTGTATTTGTACAGGAAGCAGATAAAGTAATGTACATGCTATTTTTGGGGGGTTTTTTGAGACAGATGGGTTATACCATCTCTAATAATCAGGGGCCTTCTGCTCGACCATCTCTGAAATGCATGACACTTTTTAATCATAAAATATGGATGTTTCTAATGGTATCTATGAAGTTTTACATCGATAAAGCAAGTACTTTCCTACATTTCCTAGATTTGCCCACTTTCAGCATTTTTTTATGCATATTTAAATTGTGGGCTGTATTTGAACGACAATATCTCAGAATCTATTAAAGATAAAAGCCTGAAATTTTCACAGTTATTTTTCATCTTGCGTTGAAATATGAAAAAAGCCATCTTTGAGCACACATTCACACAAAAAAATGATCATGCAGAATGAAAAGAAAGCTATTTTTGTTTAACTTTCAGACCTGATTGAGCAGGTTTGACAAGTTGAACTACTTTAATGAGTCTGTTTGAATTAACTAGAAATACTTTTGTTTTTGTGGAGCTGCTTGTCATTCCTGCTCAAGCACTATGAAAGTTGAACAAAAATATTTTGACGGCACGAAACTTCACATAGTTCTGAAAATATCACTAGTTAACTTCTGTATTATCAATTTTTCTGTTCATGTGTGCTTAAAGATGGCCTCGATTTTAATATCTATATATATTTCAACTCCCTATTTCAACTATTCGGAGCCTATTTGATCTTCTTGTCCCATAATGAAGATTCTAAATTAACGACATGATGAGAATTAGCAGTAAGAATTTTAGGCTTTTATTTATATTATTTCCTGAGATATTGTTCTTCTCACAGCCTCAAATTTCAATGAGCGAAAAAAGAATCTGATTAAAGTGGGTTGACGGGCAATTATAAAAAATATATTTATATCTTGCAAATTATTTGATATGTTCAGCTAAAATTTCACAGGTTTCTTCATAAATATCTGTATCTTATTCTATAAAAAAAAATCAGGCAAATCAGAGATTTTCAAGCTGAAATTGTTTGAAAAAAATGTAATAGTTTGACATTGGAGGCAAAGGGGACACATACTGGGTTAAATAGCAGCTAGCAGCAGCTTCGACCTTTAAAAGGCCCTGAACATATCTATATGTGAGTTGTGAAAAGAACATCGAACAAGTTGCAGCACTTCAGCGAGGCCAAATCTTCTGTGACCGTGCATACTGGGTTTTGTGTAACCTATAAAGAGATTTGCTCCAAAAACACTAGAAAATCTAGAAACCTGGGATGCAGCATATAAAACACACACTTAAACAGCTCATCTGGATGGTCACATGTGTAAAGCAAATTAAAGTTCCATAAAACAGAAGCACAGAGCACCACACAATCATAAGAAAAGTAAAAGCTGCTATTGGCTGTAAGAGCAGTTGTTAAAAAGTGTGTTAAATGTGTGTTATGACAGACACATGTGACCTGTAACTATTAACACTGTTACAGGTTTGAGGCCCGTAGAGATAAAAACCCATCCATCCATCCATCCATCCATCCATCCATCCATCCATCCATTATCTATACACCACTTAATCCTCACTAGGGTCTCGGGGGGGCTGGAGTCTATCCCAGCGGACTAAGGGCGAAGGCAGGGGACACCCTGGACAGGTCGCCAGTCCATCGCAGGACTAGATAAAAACCCAGAGACTCATAAATCCATCCCTGAATTTTTCCTGATTCAGCTCAGTGTGATGCTCATTCTGATGTAATCAGCCTCTACGTGCTGTTTAGGACGGGAAGGAGGAACCCCGGCTCGGACTGTGCAGGAACAGGAGTTTTTGGGTGACGAAAGCAGCGGTGTGTCGAACTAATTCTGTTTTGCGTCCAGATGGATCAGCAGAAGGCACTTTCGTGTGGTGGCAGGCCTGCGAGTGTTGTCCACTCCCGGAGATCACGTCCAGATCCGCAGCATCAGCAAAGTGAAAACGCACGAGGACTACAGTGACATCACGGGTGACAATGATGTGATGCTGATCCTGCTCAGTTCTCCCTTCAACTTCACCGACCACGTCCAGCCCATCTGCACTCCCCTTGACGTGACGCACGAGTCTGTCCTCAGCTTCAGCCACTGCTTCGTCACTGGATGGGGCAGCGCCTACTACCAAGGTTGGTGCAAACACTCACTGGTTCACCTGGACTCACTGAAAAGTTTTGTGTCCAAGTGCATTTGAGCCAAACACTGGATCTCTGTTTGCTTCTCCGACTGCTTCAGTTTCACAGCAAAGGGAGAAAATACAACTTTACAATAAGACCTGTGAACCTTTATTTAACCAGAAAATTCTTTGAAAACTAAAATCTGTTTTTAAGGAAGCTTGTTTGTAGGTGACCATAAATATAAAGTCAAGAAGTAACGTTTCAGTGGGGATAGCAGGCATCCATCCATCCATTATCTATGCACCGCGTAATCCTCACTGGGGTCATGGGGGGCTGGAGTCTATCCCAGCTGACTCAGGGTGAAGGCAGGGGACACCCTGGACAGGTCACCAGTCTATCACAAGACTACACCTAGAGACAGACAACCAAGCACACTCACTCAAGGGGGTCATCAAGGGGACCCGTTTTAAAGACGTGGATGACATCAAGATGGTGTGACGACGGAGCTGTGGAGGATCCCAGAAGAATCCTTCCAGGAGTGCATGGTGGCGTGGCAGAGAAGGCTGGGGAAGTGTGTTAGACTCCAGGGGGATTACTTGGAAGTGGAAAACTTGTAGTTTGGATTTGAAATATATCTTTTGTGACACAAGTCCCAAAACTTTTCTGACACACCTCATATGACTGTTGGTTGCAGCTGAGTTACTCATGGCTTCACGGTTGCTCTGAGGAGTTTAGAATCTTTTGTGGGTTTTTTGTTTTTTGCAGGATCTCTTTTGTGCAAATAGTTTATTTTTAGTCCTTGGAGCTTCAGTAACAAACAGCAGGACTTCTCTTTTAGGAAATCTTCCAAAGACTCAGAGGATTACTGTGACCTGTCTGACTGAGAATCTACACCGGGTTTATTTTTTGGCAAATTTTGAAATGGAGCATGTAGAAAAAAAGTGATTTTGATGAAATATCACAACTTTAATCTTAAACGGAACTGCGCATCACACACGATTTGTTCAAAAAACGTTAGAATGTTGAAAATCAGTCGACTGGTTCTGTTTTTACATTTTCAGGCTTAATAAATTGTGTCATTATTTCTTTTTTCTTTCTTTTTTCTTTTTCTTTTTTTAAAGAAACACACCTTTCTAACCAGCCAGTGTGTTTTGGGGTTCAGCGGGTTAAAGGCTGCAGCCGTGATGGTTAATTTTAGAATATAAACCTGTTATTTATTCATGACTTTTTCCAACCAGTAACTACATGTATCCCCATCATCATGAGCCATGTTTCCAGTATTTCTGCACAAATATTTAAAATCTTGCAGCAATTTAAAGAAGATAAATGCATTATTTTAAATAATAAGGAAAGAAAATCATTTCACTACTTTTAATAATCCTTGTTAGCTTTTTTTTTTGTATAATATAAAATTTTTTCGGGGGTGAGTTTGTGATTCTGGAGCCACTTTGTTCAGATTTGATGCTGCTGCCTAAAGGCTGAATTAAGCATCTGAATACTTGTTTTCAGTTTTAATAAACTTGCAAAAGATTGTAAAAAACAAAAAAAAAAAAAATAAATCAAGATTTTTTTAAGGGTTAGTGAGTGTCAACTAAGTTTTTGTATTTAAAATGAAAACTTAAATCCAATAAAGTTAAATTAGGACAACTTTTTATAAACCAGGCTCCAGCTGCGGGTGTCAGAATTTTTGACCAGAACATTAATGAACATTTATATCTGCTTACAATATATATATGTGTGTGTGTGTGTGTGTGTGTGTGTGTGTGTGTGTGTAAAATAATGAAATATTCATATCCAGATTTAAAATACTAAATAGAGAAGCTGAGAGATTTGCCTTTGCTTTTGTGTTTTTAAATGCTGCATATAATTGCTTATCACTGCATGAACTATGAATGGAGGTCTTTTTTTTTTTTTTAAATCAGTCTATTAGAAACCATTTAGAAGCCCTTTACAGGTACAGCGGTATTGTGTTGTTTGTACTGCAGGTAGGCTGATGAACAGATTGCAGGAGGCTGAGGTGGAGCTCATCAACAGCAGCACATGTAACCTGGCCAGCTGGTACGACGGCCTCATCTCTGAAAACATGATCTGCGCCGGACTGGAGAGCGGAGCGGCCGACACCTGTCAGGTGGGTGTTCCCGGTCATTTTGAAAGCCACTACAAAGGTGCAGGTTTAATCTCAGTAACATGTTGTTTGTGTCCATTCAGGGCGACAGCGGGGGTCCCCTGCAGTGCTATAGCGAGAGCCAGGAGAAGTTCTATGTGGTCGGAGTGACGAGCTTCGGGGAGAAGTGCGGACTTCCTCACAAGCCTGGAGTTTACGCACGGACCAGCAGGTTTGCAGGTTGGCTGAAGGCGAGTCAGGCTGCAGCATCGGAGTCCGCTGCACACAGACTGAACACAAGACTCCTCTCAGCTCTGCTCGGCGCTGCTCTGATGCTGCTCTGAAACATCACAGCTCAGCCACAGGCAGGTTGAAAATAAATCCTCAAAATTCTCAGCTGATCACTTTTTGTTTTTTACAAGTCAGTGCAGTTACCCTGTTGGAGCTGTTTATTTAAAGGTCCAGAAACCCAATGTTCTCAACCAGCATCTTATTGTGAGTGATGTTCTTCTCAGTAGTTTTTTCATATGAGAGTTTCCTGCTTTTGTAGGTGTGTGCAGGATGTCAGATCCACAAGTAAACAGCAATATGCAGGAAAAGGCTGTTCATGTGCTCTCCAGGGTTTCTGTAAATACAATTTTGTAGTGTTTGAAGAATCTGTTGCTTTTGTTGTCATTTGTAAGGGAGGGAGAATGAGGAATTAAGTTTAATTCAGTTGTGAAAAAAGAGCAACAAAGTTGGAACCAAAACAATGTTTTGTGAATAAAACATGTTTCCAATAACACAGGAAAAGTACTTTCTAGATATTACGATACACAAGTTGTCAAAATGACAAATGTTGGGTTTTTTTTGCACCTGCAGTAATATTTGTAAAATCTGAAGAATGAATAAATGTTTCATGGAGAGTTTGAAGTCTGCAGTGTAAAAAAAACAAACAAACAAATGTTCCCTGTTAAAGGATTGTTCTCTGAGAAGCAACCAGAACTGACCAATATTCTGTTTCCCACACAGACTTTTTTTTTTTTTCACAATCTGGCAACCCAAAACTTGATGAAGCCACAACTTATGAACACTCTGAATGGTGTTTTTTTTAAAGTTTATATCATCATTTCAAAAGGTGATGCTAAAGTTTTGCCCCTTTCAATTGACATACATGTATTTTTTATGATAGTTTTCAAATATATGTTCTGTAGTTTTTATGCCTTTATTTTGAAATTACACAAAAACCAAATGGCAGACCCTAAAAGCTCAGTGAGTATTAGAGCTGCGTTATTTTTTGTTCTAGTTTTTTGTCCTAGCAGTGTGCTTTTCAAATCACTCTGTTAAGTAGATTCAAGAGCCTACTAATAGATTTTCATACCACACAGACAATGAACTATGAGTCTGAAAATACTAAAACATTCAAACAAACTTTTCCATTTTGAGATAAATAATCAAAATCTGATCTGATAAAATTCAGTATTACAGCTCTGCCATAAATTCTACTTTTCCAAAGCTTCTGCAATTTCCGTGTTTTGCTGATTTCAGAAAGTTGATGTTAATCATTGAGGCCACAGTTTTAATCACATTTGTCAGATAGACAACAATGATTCTAATACACACACACATTAGTTGTGGAGTTCCACAAAGCTCTGTGCTGGGACTGCACATGTTCTTCTCAGGCAACATTATTAGAAAACTCTCCATAAATATAAACTTTCACTGCTTTCCACATGAAATTAATCAGTTACACAAACTTCAAACATGTTTTAAAGACATAAAGGCCCGGATGTCGTGTCATTTTCTTCTTCTGAATTCAGACAAAACTATTATTATGTACTTTATTTGGTCCTGAACACCTCAGAAACACTAACTGTGGATGGCAGAACTTTGGCCTCCAATGCTCCTGTGAAGAACCGTTGAGTTATTTAAGATATGGCCTGAACGCAGACATTAAAAAGACTACGACGGCCTTCTTTCACCCACACTAGAAGGTTAAAACAGAAGCATTCTGTCCCAGAGTGATGCTGAAAAACTAGTCCATGCATTTGTTACTTCTAGGCTGGACTATTGTAATTACTTATTATTAGAATGTCCCAATAAATCTCTGAAAAACTTCCAGTTGACCCAAAATGCTGCAGCCAGAGTTCTGACAGGAACCAGCAAGAGAGATCATAGTTGTCCCATATTAGCTTCACTTCAATGGCTCCTTTAATTTCATTTCTAATTTAAAATCCTCCTTCTCACATACAAAGCTCCTAGTGACCGAGCTCCATCATGCTTTTTAGATCTTATTGTGCCATATTTTCCCAGTGGAGCACTTTGCTCTCCGACTGCAGGTTTACTTGTGGTTTCTAGAGTTTCCTGGGAGGCAGAACCTTCAGCTGTCAGGCTTCCTCTGCTGTGGAACCAGCTCACCGTTTGGGAGGCAGACACCCTCTTTAACTTTTAGGATCCGGCATGAAACTTTCCTTTTTAAAGAATCTTACAGGTGGGGCTGACTTGGGTCCAACATTAGTTAAGCTACTGTGGACCTGGGTTGCTGGCAGACTTCCCATGATGCACTGAGTACGTCTCCTCTTTCCTCACTTTTCCTTTCCTTTCCTCAATTTTGACATTTATATGTCACCATTGCATGTCATTAACTTTATGTCTTCTCTCCCCTCTGCACGGATCTCTCACTCTGGAGCTGCACATTTCTGATCTGCAGTTACCGGCCTCACCCTGTTCCTCAGCATTTATTGTTCTCTTATGCGTTGTTTGTCTGATTTTTCTCTGCTGACCTGTTCTCTCCATCCCTGACCTTCACCCCAGCAGCTCGAGGCAGATGACCACCCTCCCTGAGCCTGGTGCTGCTGGAGGTTTCTTCATGTTAAGGGGAAGTTGTTCTTCATCCAAAGAGCTGCTTGAAGGGAATCTTTGTATTTGCTGGATCTTTGTCTGTAATATGATATATAGAGGCCTTCCTTTAACCATGTGAAGTGCCTTGAGATTACTTGTCTTTTTTTATTTTATTTAACCTTTATTTAACCAGAAGGTCCCAATGAGATTCAAAATCCCTTTTAGAAGAGAGACCTGACTAAGGTAGCAGCCAATCACAACATATTAAGATGCAACAAATAGAAAGAACCCCCAACAAGAACAACTATTAAAACAAAGTGGACCTGTCAAGAAAAACAGTCACATGTCTTCGTCAACACATTCTTTATGATGCCCTTAAATTTATTAATTGATATGACTGTTGACTGCAAGGTGGATCGGTGGTTAGCATCGTTGCTTCGCAGCAAGAAAGTCGCCGGTTCACGTCCCGATGAGGACACCCAGGATCTTTCTG